TTTGCCAAAACAGTAAAACAATTTCTTTCAGCTGGGCGATAGCAAGTTTCGTTATTGCTTTGCTCTTGCTGGGACAAATGCGCGCGCAACTTTTTAAAATGTTGCTGGCAGAGTAGTCATTACCAAGTGTCAGAGAAATGAGCAAATTGATACTTTCTACCAGGAATAAGAAATTAAAGTTGGAATTCCTGGGGCATGAAAATTTGTAATGTTTTGCGATTTTGCGATGGTGTTTTTGGATCCGGGTGAAAAAATTGACATTCTTCAAAAAGTGTGCGCCACTCAGGGGCTAACAAGTTTTGGCTGATATTGTTTTTTTTCACATGTGGCTTCAATAGCCGCAATGCTGGGATAAAGTGCACCAAAGAGCGTTCAGTCAAGTTTGGGGGCAAAGACACTGTGCTCTTGTGCCTCAGGTATTGGGCCAGCCTGGTGTCAAGTTGCTTTGATTCAACTTCGCATTGGAATCTTTGGAATGACACCGTGTTGCCAGCCTGAGGGAACAATTCGCTGCCACGGCTGGAAGACAGACGCTTTTTGAGGTTTGCTCAGTTTGCTCTGGATTCCCGTCTCTAATGCTTTTTGCTTGATTTGCCTCCTGCGCATGAAAAAATGGCAGCCCGCGACCAGCACGAATTCTCTTCTCAACGTTTTTTTGGTCGAAGCATCTTTTTTTGTACAGCATCCAGCCGTTGAAACTTGGAAAAGAAAAGAACAGCACCGGAACCACTTTTCCAGGAATTTGGGCAATTTCAGCTATCTCAATTTCGTGCGCTTTCGTGCGCTGACTTTAGGTGACATTTGCTTCGAACAAAATTGCAAGAAAATGATCGGAAGGTGGCCATTCCTTGCTTTTCCAGGCTGGATTTTGAACATTTAGAATGGTTTCAGTAGAATGGTTCAGCAGCTTTTCCATCAGTTTTGTTCGAGGATTGTAGGAACCAATTTCGTGCGCTTCGTGCGCTTCGTGCGCTCTATTTTTTCCACTCATTCGATGAACTTCAGGTGTGTAACCCAACATGTCCTGAAAATTCTTGAAATTTGGAGATAAATGGTTGTTGAAAAAAGATTTGCGCCAAGTTTTCTGATTTCGTGCAACCTTGTGCAATTTCGCGTTTTTTTCCGGGCTTCATTTTTTGTGGTAGTTCAAGGTTTCTGCCTTCACTGTCGCGTGTTGCCCGGCTGCACAAGAAAGATAGACATTTGTTTGAGGACGCGTCTTTTCAAAATGGATGCGGAGCAAAATCGGTTTTTGCTTCGATCTATTTTTGTGTGTTTCTTTCTTGGTTTTGTGATTCGCGCGGGGTGCACACGCTTGCCGCCAGTATGCCACAAAGACAGTTTGCTGCGCTTTGACTTTGCTGGCGGGAAAATCTTGGGCCTGTGAGCCGCAGAGCCATAATGAGTTCTAACTCCACAGGAATTCCTTTATATCGTTTTGCCGTCAAGTGCTTTCTGCCAACCATGTTTCCCTTGTCCAGATCATGCCACCTCACGGCACGCTTAGATTTCATTATTTCTGATCATTCGGTTGTTGCCTCTACCACCCACAGCGTCATTTTCACGGCTTCAAGGCAGACCCTGTTTCCACAAGAGCGAAAAACATTTTTTATTTTGAACGTAAAGTAGCCAATGAGCATGTGCGGCATATCCATGCTCTTTAGTAGTCTGCTTGTTTTTTTGCCTTATTTCTCTCTTATGATTTTATTTTTTTGGCTTATACTTGGAGGCTCTAGGCACAGAGACAAGGAGGGCCACAGAAGCCATAATATGAAATTTGCTACCGGGCGAGATCAGATGCGGGAGCAGTGAGCAAGTGTTTGAAAACTTTGGAAGCTCCAGTTTCATTTGACAGAGCGTGGGCGGGGCGTCGTCGTTCTGACGTGTGAGTGTCATGTTGACTAAGTTCGCAGTGTTGCTTTTTTGGGTGCCTGCTGCAGCTCAGAAGCTGACAGCCTTTGACGCAGCTTCTGCTTCCAGCATCTATTCCACAAAATCCTTTGGGGCAGACCTGGCAACGCTTGAATCATCTGGGCGCAGCTGTTGATGTGCTCAGTGCTGCAAAAGCCATGTGTTGGTGCATTTCTGTCTTGTGCCAGGTATTGGTGCAGTGCTGGGTCCGGAGACTTGGGAAAGGCAGGTTTTGTAATCACATTGCATTGCGGATGAACGTTTGGCAGGAAGCATGGCCCGAGCGAAATTGTTTCTTGGCTGGCGACAAGCTTGAATTGGAAAAGTGTGACAGCAGCACAGGGGTGTGGGAAGTGAGCGCAGATGGGCAGGTCAAACAGGGGAACATGTGCTTGGCTGTGGATGGCTCTGCTGTGCATGCCTTGGATTGCGACGAAGCAGCATCTCTCGGCGCGAGCAATTTCTTTCAAGTGGCTGTGCCCGCCTATGACCCAAAGGCTGTGGTTGCTGTGCGTAGCTTGGGTGAGCTCTTGCGCGGCAGCCTCGCCAGGCAAGGCAAGCTGCTGAAGGAGTTGCAGGCTCTGCTGCCCAAGCTTGCCACCTGCAAAGCGAAAATCAGCTTGGCGAGCTTGCCGAACCGAGCTTCTGGATTGCAAGGAGCGGCAGGGATCATATCCCTTGCTTCGCGCAATGCCCTGAGTTCACACGCTGACAAGGAAAGTTTGGCAGGCAAAGTGGGGGAGCACTTTGGGGTGAGCCAGCATGAGCTCAGCTCAACGGCGGCCGCTTCCGCAGAAGCTTTGGCCGCCTTTCGCAAAGCTGCTCGCTGAATGCTTCTGATTCATTACTAGTTGTGACAGCTTGTTGTTGACACCTGCACTTTTCAGTGCAAGAAACAACACTACAGCTGCACTTGCACAAGCCCTTTATGGAATGTGTGTTTCAGCTGCTGCCCTGTGGATGTTTGTTCAGCAGCTTGCAGTGGATGAATGCATCGGGCTTGATCATTTGTGAAACTGTTTCTTTTCTTTTTGCTGTTTTGATGCCGCTTGAAAGACCCAGGAGGCAGGTACGCCGGGCGCCCTATTTGCCCGTGGGTACGGGCTTGCCGCGGCCCCCTGCTAGATTGTGCTTGCCCAGCGTTCGTAAATCGGCTTTAGTTGGCACTACTGATTCTAAGGATGATCCAATTGAGGCTCGTGCGCGTGCTGACACACTGCCGGTGAGGCTGGCGTCTGGCAAGCTTGGGGTTCAACTGGTGGGAACAGCTCGCGCATCAGAGGATCAGGAGCGTGCGCGCCTGGCAGGCATCTGGGCAGGTTTTGCCAGGACATTGGCGTCTTCGAGCGCTTCTGCTTGTGATTTTTCATCGACATCAGCAATGAGCTTGCGGCAATTGTTTCTGGATCGTGCACCTTCCACTCTACGCCGCCACCTGAGTGGATGGCGCTTGTGGGTAGCATTTTGTTCTATACATGATTTGCAGCCTGTTGCTCCGCCAATATCAGCTTTGCTTGATTTTTTGGAAAGTTTAAGTGTTGGCGCGCTTGAAGACCGCGGTAATGCTCGACAGCGCAATGCTCTGGGGGTTTTGAGCGCCATGACTTTTGCCGCTGCAAAGTTAAGTTTGGAAAGTTTGCAGACATTGCTACGTGAGCCCATGATTCAGAGCTGGAAAAAAGGTGACAAGTGGAAGCGCAGCACAGTGAAGGAAGCGGTGCCGATTCCATTTTTTGCTTTAGAAAAACTTGAGCAGGTAGTCGCAGGTGTGGTGATGATCGAATTTTACTTTGCGCCATCTTACTTATGGCCTGGGGTAGTCTGAGATGGTCAGATCTTCAACGTTTAGATTTACAATCCATCACCTCGGATGCTACCTCTATCAGAGGGTGGTGTTGGCGAACCAAATCCTCGGTTCGGGGTATGCCTTGGGGTGTGTTACGCTGTGGCTGCGCTGCAAGCAATTGGGGTGATGTCCTCTTCAACGTGATTTCTGAAATTCGGGCACAACGTCCTACGCAGGATTTCTTCATAGGGTGGAATGGCAAACCCATGCTTTATACCATCATGCTGGCGCAGTTTCGGCGATGCCTGGTCTTAGTTGCAGGGCTTGAACGCGAAGTTGCGTGGACCTTTTCGCTACATTCTCTCAAATGTACTTTGTTGTCTTGGGGATTGGAATGCAAAGTTGACCCAGTGGAGCGTGCAGCGCAGGGTCATCAAAGGCATCATGGGTTTTCTCAGTGTGTGCAGCGATATAGTCGGGATGATGTCACCCCGCAACTTAACTGCCAGCGGGCACTGCTTAAGGTTTTGGATTCGGGTTGGCGGCTTCCGCTGCAGCGTGGTGTTGGTTGCTTGGTGCATGAGCGCGCAGGGCAAGAATCGGATACAGAAAGTGATTCAAGTGGGAGTAGCTCTTCAAGCGCTGCGCTGGGTGATTTGGATAATCAATCAGATGGTGGCAGCGAAAATTCCTTGTCAGATGCGGTGGAATTGGAAGGGCCTTGGTTGCTGAACGCATTATCAGGTGTGGCGCATAAAGCAATTCATGTGGATGGCGATGAGGATACTGTGTTCCTGGCTTGTCGCCCGAGTGCTACATTGCACGCGGCTTTTGGAAAGCGATTGGAAAATCCTTGGTTTGAAGGTTTTCGTTCATGCAGACATCGTGGATGTTGTTAATGTGCCCCATGCGGCGTGTTGCTGACTGCGTTTGGTCAGCGTGCTGGAAAATGGAACGCCGGGACCAACTGAGAGCGGTTGGCGGTGTTGGGCCGGGACTACCTGGGAGTGGGTAGCGGTCCGCGGCCGGGACTACCTGAGAGTGGGTAGCGGCCAGTTGTGTGGGGCTGGGACTACCTGAGAGTGGGTAGCGGCCAAGGTGTGGGGCCGGGACTGCCTGAGAGTGGGCAGCGGCCAGTAAGAAGGACCAAGTTCCTGATTGGTTATGGGCCGGGGCTTTTTGATAATGGATAGCGACGAGTGGGGATACCGCTTCGTTGCAGTTGGATTTTGATTTATGTTTTGTACCTGAGTGCGGGTATTAGTGTTTGGGGTCCGTGGTCGGGACTGCCTGAGAGCGGGCAGCGGCCTTTGCCTAGCTTAACCTAGATAGGTTTTGCTAGTTTACTGTTCCATGGGATTGCCTAGTTAGGCTTGGCTCATTCGAGGCGGAGATGCCTTTGGGTCCTGGTGAAAAGTTGCTGCTCGCCAGTCGTCCAGTATAACAGCTAAGTTTGCAACAGTACATTGCTGCGATTGTGTTCCTTCGTCCTTGTGTGTCTTCCTGTTTTGTATGTGTGCAATGGAAAATACGTGGAAGGCAACCTTGTTAGAGGCTGGAGTGATTTCGGCAGTTGCGGAGAAAGTGATGGAGACATATGCCAATGAATCTGTCTTCCAAAGCTGTTTCCGCACCGAAAATGACTTGGACAAGTTCGCGAAGTCAGTGCTTCTGGGCATGACTCCCCCTATTGCCTCTGAAGAAGATTGGAGTTTCCATCCAGTGACTGGTGCCTAGCGTCGCGTGCCGAGTCATTGTTAGCTCCCAGCCCGCACGGTTGCTGCGCCGTTATTGCCTTTGTTGCCCCTCTCGCAGCCGGCAGTTGGCATCAGCCATCGCTTGTCTGAAGCAGACAGGGAAGGTATGATCAAAAAATTCGGGGACAATTACTGTATCCAGGTGTTAATCTTCATCCAGGTGTGCCGCCTGCTTTGCCATATAATATCTTTAGATGATTCAGCAGCAGTGTAAAACAAAGTCTTGGGCGTGGACTCCCTGGAGGAAGGTTCTTTCGGAGGAAGCTATGCATGACGTGCAGTCTCGCCGCGGCGTGCGCAAGCGTGATATGGCTGAGCTTGTGGCTGAAGCGGCTGGCTTGTGTGAGGATGAGTGGGATCTGGAATTGTTCAGCGCGCCGTTGAAAATCTTTCATCTTTTGTGTGTTCGCGCTCATGCGTATTCAATGTGCTCGGAGGGACACCTGCATTCCTGGATGAAATATGTTAACCACTTTCTTTTCCACTACACCAAGCGGCCGGGAACTGCTTTTCGTTTGATTTCCCCCACCGAGGCAGAAGAGGCGGACAAGGAAGTCATGGGCGAGGTCTTTCGCATGGTGTACCATGATGATGTCACGTTTGAAGATGCTTTGGATAGCGTTGTGCGTGAAGACTTATTGCGGCACAAGCTGTTGCATTTGCCCAAGGGGCCCACTAAGACCCCAGCTGCTGGCAAGCGAGTGCAGGACAAAGAAAAGGGAGACAGGGTGCCATTGAAGCGCCGAAAAGCAGATCCGGCCGTTAAGCGCAGCAAGTGCCATGCATGGCAAAAGGATGGCAAGTGTCGGTTTGGTGATGAGTGCAAGTTTGCACATGAGGACCGGGAATGACTAGGGCCAGGGTCAGGTGATGAAGCAGCTGCGGTCAGTATGCCATTGCTGGCGTCGGATTTTTGTGCGGATCATGGAACTGTTGTTGCCCAAGATGCTGTGGTGTGCTCTGCTGCGTCTTCCGGTTCTGTTTTGGCAACTCAGGTACAATATGGCACTGGCAGCCAAAGGGATGCCCGCCCAGAAGCAAATTTTGACCAACATTGTTGCGCAGATTTGGCTCCTGCGAAAAGTTCCTCGTTGGCTTCTTTTTGTTCCATCCCCATCACAGATGGTGGTGGTCGCATATCTACAGCATGCTGGGTTCACCCTCAGGAACCTGTAGATAGGTTGAAATATTTGCGCGGAAAGTTTTGCATTGGATGCGGTCTTGGGGTGTTGTGCCCCGGCTTTTGAGGCATATTAGCGAAGGCTCAGAACAGCATTTGTTCTCTGAATCTGAGCAGGGGCAGCTTCAAGGTAGTCTTGCACAAGCTTTAGACACACTAGGTTTTCCTTGCAGCTGTGAGATTCCAATTCACCAACCCTTTTTGCTGGACATTTGGCGGGCTTTGACACGTGCAACTTTTGACATGGACAAAGACTTGCCAAAGTTGTTGACAGAGGGCGTTCCCACTGGCATTCTTTCCAGCATACCTACATCCGGTGTTTGGGATGCAGTAGAAGATTGTGATACTGAGCTCGAGAATGAATTGTTCGTTCACCTTGTTCCCTGGAAAAGTGCTGCTGACAATGTTGAGCTCGCGCGTGAATTGTTCATGAAAGATGTTTCTGCTGGTTTTGCTTACATTCTTCCTGGTGGTGCTGCTGAAGCAGTGCAGAAGTGGGGTTCGAATGTTGCTGCCGGTCGCCTTGGCGTTGTACAAGCTCCGGGCCGTAAACCTCGGCTGATTGGAGATGGAAGTATCAGCGGAGCAAATCGAGCTTGCATTATTCCTGAGAAAGCGCGTCTTCCTGGCTTGAGCAGCGTGCAAAGATTTTTGTCAGAGTCCGGGAGTGGTTCGGCCTGGGTTGCTCTGAGCTTCACAAGCTGATTCGTGTCAAGCCTGAAGAACAGGGGCTCGGTTGTTTCGCGCTGGGTAACGATTTTTTCGTTTACCGTTCGTGCTATTTCGGTGCCTGGCTAGTGAGGATGTTGCACAGATTTCTCTGGATTTCTCACGCCTGCTTCCTTTACGTGGATGGCGGCCTGGTGTTGGTTCCTAAGGATGTTGCTCCACTTCTTGCTTCGGCCTGCTTGGCCTTTCTGACTGCTTTGGGTGTCCCTTTGAGCTGGAAGCAGGTTAAATTGGGGGACGAGCTAGTTTGGATCGGATGGCGTTTTTGCTTTTGATCTGGTTACATACAGTTGCCGGATGACAAGTCGCAGAAAATTCTGGAAGCGTTGAGCCCTTTTTGCACCATTGGACAGAAGGTGGACCGCAAAGCTGTTGAACGTCTTATTGGTCTTTTGCTATGGTACTCGGGTGGTGCTGTGCATCTGCGGCCTTGGCTACAAGCTCTGTATCATCTGCTGTATAAACCACGCTGCGTATTCAGATGAGTTACCCCCCATCAGTTTGAGGTGCTGCGTCAACTGATGGACACGAAGTTAGCTTTGACAGGTCACATGGAATGTTGCGATCTACAGCAAGGATGGGTGTTGCATGCTGTCGCCAACTGCGCCGTGTCTTCATTGGGTGCGGATGCCTTAGTGTCTCCACGTTTGAAGCGAGGACAGGTAGATTGTGTTTTCTACAACTACAGCAGTGTTTCTGTCCGTACAAATTTGGCATCCATGTGGGCATGCAAGCTTTTTTATAATGCTGTGGCTAAGCATCAGTCTATCCCCTTAAGACGTATTGAAGAGTCGTTCATACCTTGCGCAGCAGATGCATTTGCAACCACATCAGTTGCTGGTGTGGGTGGCTGGTGGGCGCCTACTGCAGAGAGTGCGCGCCAAGATCAAGTTTTTTGGTTCAGCATTTCTTTGGGCAAGTGGAACTTGCCGGAATGGCTCATTTGTGAGAAGCTTCAATCCTACATAGCTTCATTCGAAGCTCTGGGGCAGCTTTTGCTCTTGCTAGGGCGTGTGCGTGGGATCAAGTCTCCGGCTCATCATGTGTTGCTTATGAGGCAGTTGTGCGACCCTCGTGGCCGCATCGACGCAGAAGATGCTATCATTGAAGGCACCTCTTGCTTTTGTGTTACAGGCCATCAGTTATCATACAGTGGCACACGGTGTGCAGCTCACCTCTGCACATTGCGCGGGAGAGCGCAATGGCTGGGCGGATGACCTCAGCCGTGGAAAGGTGTCAGGTTTTAACCCTTTGCTTCGGGTAGAATTTGATCTTGTGGAGATTTTGGCTGAGCCTTGGGCCTCTTTGGGGCACTCTTGAGTGGGGATTGCTATTGGTGCCCCTTTTTTCCAGCAGGCTGCCACCTTGCAGTTAGGGGCTATGATGTGCTGGTCTCTGCTGGGGTTGTCCAGCAGAGCCAGCATGTGGCAGCTATCCATTTGAAAAAAAGGGGGCGTGCATTGCAGCTTAGTGTTTGACACCTGCACTTTTCAGTGCAAGAAACAACACTACAGCTGCACTTGCACAAGCCCTTTATGGAATGTGTGTTTCAGCTGCTGCCCTGTGGATGTTTGTTCAGCAGCTTGCAGTGGATGAATGCATCGGGCTTGATCATTTGTGAAACTGTTTCTTTTCTTTTTGCTGTTTTGATGCCGCTTGAAAGACCCAGGAGGCAGGTACGCCGGGCGCCCTATTTGCCCGTGGGTACGGGCTTGCCGCGGCCCCCTGCTAGATTGTGCTTGCCCAGCGTTCGTAAATCGGCTTTAGTTGGCACTACTGATTCTAAGGATGATCCAATTGAGGCTCGTGCGCGTGCTGACACACTGCCGGTGAGGCTGGCGTCTGGCAAGCTTGGGGTTCAACTGGTGGGAACAGCTCGCGCATCAGAGGATCAGGAGCGTGCGCGCCTGGCAGGCATCTGGGCAGGTTTTGCCAGGACATTGGCGTCTTCGAGCGCTTCTGCTTGTGATTTTTCATCGACATCTGCAATGAGCTTGCGGCAATTGTTTCTGGATCGTGCACCTTCCACTCTACGCCGCCACCTGAGTGGATGGCGCTTGTGGGTAGCATTTTGTTCTATACATGATTTGCAGCCTGGTGCTCCGCCAATATCAGCTTTGCTTGATTTTTTGGAAAGATTAAGTGTTGGCGCGCTTGAAGACCGCGGTAATGCTCGACAGCGCAATGCTCTGGGGGTTTTGAGCGCCATGACTTTTGCCGCTGCAAAGTTAAGTTTGGAAAGTTTGCAGACATTGCTACGTGAGCCCATGATTCAGAGCTGGAAAAGAGGTGACAAGTGGAAGCGCAGCAGAGTGAAGGAAGCGGTGCCGATTCCATTTTTTGCTTTAAAAAAACTTGAGCAGGTAGTCGCAGGTGCAAAAGGTGATGATCGAATTTTACTTTGCGCCATCTTACTTATGGCCTGGGGTAGTCTGAGATGGTCAGATCTTCAACGTTTAGATTTACAATCCATCACCTCGGATGCTACCTCTATCAGAGGGTGGTGTTGGCGAACCAAATCCTCGGTTCGGGGTATGCCTTGGGGTGTGTTACGCTGTGGCTGCGCTGCAAGCAATTGGGGTGATGTCCTCTTCAAAGTGATTTCTGAAATTCGGGCACAACGTCCTACGCAGGATTTCTTCATAGGGTGGAATGGCAAACCCATGCTTTATACCATCATGCTGGCGCAGTTTCGGCGATGCCTGGTCTTAGTTGCAGGGCTTGAACGCGAAGTTGCGTGGACCTTTTCGCTACATTCTCTCAAATGTACTTTGTTGTCTTGGGGATTGGAATGCAAAGTTGACCCAGTGGAGCGTGCAGCGCAGGGTCATCATAGGCATCATGGGTTTTCTCAGTGTGTGCAGCGATATAGTCGGGATGATGTCACCCCGCAACTTAACTGCCAGCGGGCACTGCTTAAGGTTTTGGATTCGGGTTGGCGGCCTGGGGTTCCGCTGCAGCGTGGTGTTGGTTGCTTGGTGCATGAGCGCGCAGGGCAAGAATCGGATACAGAAAGTGATTCAAGTGGGAGTAGCTCTTCAAGCGCTGCGCTGAGTGATTTGGATAATCAATCAGATGGTGGCAGCGAAAACGGCGGAATTGGAAGGGCCTTGGTTGCTGAACACATTATCAGGTGTGGCGCATAAAGCAATTCATGTGGATGGCGATGAGGATACTGTGTTCCTGGCTTGTCGCCCGAGTGCTACATTGCACGCGGCTTTTGAAAAGCGATTGGAAAATCCTTGGTTTGAAGGTTTTCGTTCATGCAGACATCGTGGATGTTGTTAATGTGCCCCATGCGGCGTGTTGCTGACTGCGTTTGGTCAGCGTGCTGGAAAATGGAACGCCGGGACCAACTGAGAGCGGTTGGCGGTGTTGGGCCGGGACTACCTGGGAGTGGGTAGCGGTCCGCGGCCGGGACTACCTGAGAGTGGGTAGGGGCCAGTTGTGTGGGGCTGGGACTACCTGAAAGTGGGTAGCGGCCAAGGTGTGGGGCCGGGACTGCCTGAGAGTGGGCAGCGGCCAGTAAGAAGGACCAAGTTCCTGATTGGTTATGGGCCGGGGCTTTTTGATAATGGATAGCGACGAGTGGGGATACCGCTTCGTTGCAGTTGGATTTTGATTTATGTTTTGTACCTGAGTGCGGGTATTAGTGTTTGGGGTCCGTGGTCGGGACTGCCTGAGAGCGGGCAGCGGCCTTTGCCTAGCTTAACCTAGATAGGTTTTGCTAGTTTACTGTTCCATGGGATTGCCTAGTTAGGCTTGGCTCATTCGAGGCGGAGATGCCTTTGAGTCCTGGTGAAAAGTTGCTGCTCGCCAGTCGTCCAGTAACAGCTAAGTTTGCAACAGTACATTGCTGCGATTGTGTTCCTTCGTCCTTGTGTGTCTTCCTTTTTTGTATGTGTGCAATGGAAAATACGTGGAAGGCAACCTTGTTAGCGGCTGGAGTGATTTCGGCAGTTGCGGAGAAAGTGGTGGAGACATATGCCAATGAATCTGTTTTCCAAAGCTGTTTCCGCACCGAAAATGACTTGGACAAGTTCGCGAAGTCAGTGCTTCTGGGTATGACTCCCCCTATTGCCTCTGAGGAAGATTGGAGTTTCCATCCAGTGACTGCAGGTGCCTTGCGTCGCGTGCGCGAGTCATTGTTAGCTCCCAGCACGGTTGCTGCGCCGTTATTGCCTTTGCTGCCCCTCTCGCAGCCGGCAGTTGGCATCAGCCATCGCTTGTCTGAAGCAGACAGGAAGGTATGATCAAAAAATTCGGGGACAATTATCCAGGTGTTAATCTTCATCCAGGTGTGCTGCCTGCTTTGCCATATAATATCTTCAGATGATTCAGCAGCAGTGTAAAACAAAGTCTTGGGCGTGGACTCCCTGGAGAAAGGTTCTTCAGAGGAAGCTATGCATGACGTGCAGTCTCGCCGCGGCGTGCGCAAGCGTGATATGGCTGAGCTTGTGGCTGAAGCGGCTGGCTTGTGTGAGGATGAGTGGGATCTGGAATTGTTCAGCGCGCCGTTGAAAATCTTTCATCTTTTGTGTGTTCGCGCTCATGCGTATTCAATGTGCTCGGTGGGACACCTGCATTCCTGGATGAAATATGTTAACCGCTTTCTTTTCCACTACACCAAGCGGCCGGGAACTGCTTTTCGTTTGATTTCCCCCACCGAGGCAGAAGAGGCGGACAAGGAAGTCATGGGCGAGGTCTTTCGCATGGTGTACCATGATGATGTCACGTTTGAAGATGCTTTGGATAGCGTTGTGCGTGAAGACTTATTGCGGCACAAGCTGTTGCATTTGCCCAAGGGGCCCACTAAGACCCCAGCTGCTGGCAAGCGAGTGCAGGACAAAGAAAAGGGAGACAGGGTGCCATTGAAGCGCCGGAAGGCAGATCCGGCCGTTAAGCGCAGCAAGTGCCATGCATGGCAAAAGGATGGCAAGTGTCGGTTTGGTGATGAGTGCAAGTTTGCACATGAGGACCGGGAATGACTAGGGCCAGGGTCAGGTGATGAAGCAGCTGCGGTCAGTATGCCATTGCTGGCGTCGGATTTTTGTGCGGATCATGGAACTGTTGTTGCCCAAGATGCTGTGGTGTGCTCTGCTGCGTCTTCCGGTTCTGTTTTGGCAACTCAGGTACAATATGGCACTGGCAGCCAAAGGGATGCCCGCCCAGAAGCAAATTTTGACCAACATTGTTGCGCAGATTTGGCTCCTGCGAAAAGTTCCTCGTTGGCTTCCTTTTGTTCCATCCCCATCACAGATGGTGGTGGTCGCATATCTACAGCATGCTGGGTTCACCCTCAGGAACCTGTAGATAGGTTGAAATATTTGCGCGGAAAGTTTTTGCATTGGATGCGGTCTTGGGGTGTTGTGCCCCGGCTTTTGAGGCATATTAGCGAAGGCTCAGAACAGCATTTGTTCTCTGAATCTGAGCAGGGGCAGCTTCAAGGTAGTCTTGCACAAGCTTTAGACACACTAGGTTTTCCTTGCAGCTGTGAGATTCCAATTCACCAACCCTTTTTGCTGGACATTTGGCGGGCTTTGACACGTGCAACTTTTGACATGGACAAAGACTTGCCAAAGTTGTTGACAGAGGGCGTTCCCACTGGCATTCTTTCCAGCATACCTACATCCGGTGTTTGGGATGCAGTAGAAGATTGTGATACTGAGCTCGAGAATGAATTGTTCGTTCACCTTGTTCCCTGGAAAAGTGCTGCTGACAATGTTGAGCTCGCGCGTGAATTGTTCATGAAAGATGTTTCTGCTGGTTTTGCTTACATTCTTCCTGGTGGTGCTGCTGAAGCAGTGCAGAAGTGGGGTTCGAATGTTGCTGCCGGTCGCCTTGGCGTTGTACAAGCTCCGGGCCGTAAACCTCGGCTGATTGGAGATGGAAGTATCAGCGGAGCAAATCGAGCTTGCATTATTCCTGAGAAAGCGCGTCTTCCTGGCTTGAGCAGCGTGCAAAGATTTTTGTCAGAGTCCGGGAGTGGTTCGGCCTGGGTTGCTCTGAGCTTTGATGTTGCTTCGGCCCACAAGCTGATTCTTGTCAAGCCTGAAGAACAAGGGCTCGGTTGTTTCGCGCTGGGCAACGATTTTTTCGTTTACCGTTCGTGCTATTTCGGTGCAAAGTATTCGGCATACTGGTGGTCTCGCGTGGGGGCCTGGCTAGTGAGGATGTTGCACAGATTTCTCTGGATTTCTCACGCCTGCTTCCTTTACGTGGATGACGGCCTGGTGTTGGTTCCTAAGGATGTTGCTCCACTTCTTGCTTCGGCCTGCTTGGCCTTTCTGACTGCTTTGGGTGGAAGCAGGTTAAATTGGGGGACGAGCTAGTTTGGATCGGATGGCGTTTTTGCTTGTCATCTGGTTACATACAGTTGCCGGATGACAAGTCGCAGAAAATTCTGGAAGCGTTGAGCCCTTTTTGCACCATTGGACAGAAGGTGGACCGCAAAGCTGTTGAACGTCTTATTGGTCTTTTGCTATGGTACTCGGGTGGTGCTGTGCATCTGCGGCCTTGGCTACAAGCTCTGTATCATCTGCTGTACAAACCACGCTGCGTATTCAGATCAGTTACCCCCCATCAGTTTGAGGTGCTTGCTGCGTCATCTGATGGACACGAAGTTAGCTTTGACAGGTCACATGGAATGTTGCGATCTACAGCAAGGATGGGTGTTGCATGCTGTCGCCAACTGCGCCGTGTCTTCATTGGGTGCGGATGCCTTAGTGTCTCCACGTTTGAAGCGAGGACAGGTAGATTGTGTTTTCTACAACTACAGCAGTGTTTCTGTCCGTACAAATTTGGCATCCATGTGGGCATGCAAGCTTTTTTATAATGCTGTGGCGAAGCATCAGTCTATCCCCTTAAGACGTATTGAAGAGTCGTTCATACCTTGCGCAGCAGATGCATTTGCAACCACATCAGTTGCTGGTGTGGGTAGCTGGTAGGCGCCTACTGCAGAGAGTGCGCGCCAAGATCAAGTTTTTTGGTTCAGCATTTCTTTGGGCAAGTGGAACTTGCCGGAATGGCTCATTTGTGAGAAGCTTCAATCCTATATAGCTTCATTCGAAGCTCTGGGGCAGCGTTTGCTCTTGCTAGGGCGTGTGCGTGGGATCAAGTCTCCGGCTCATCATGTGTTGCTTATGAGGCAGTTGTGCGACAATCGTGGCCGCATCGACGCAGAAGATGCTATCATTGAAGGCACCTCTTGCTTTTGTGTTACAGGCCATCAGTTATCATGCAGTGGCACACGGTGTGCAGCTCACCTCTGCACATTGCGCGGGAGAGCGCAATGGCTGGGCGGATGACCTCAGCCGTGGAAAGGTGTCAGGTTTTAACCCTTTGCTTCGGGTAGAATTTGATCTTATGGAGATTTTGGCTGAGCCTTGGGCCTCTTTGGGGCACTCTTGAGTGGGGATTGCTATTGGTGCCCCTTTTTTCCAGCAGGCTGCCACCTTGCAGTTAGGGGCTATGATGTGCTGGTCCCTGCTGGGGTTGTCCAGCAGAGCCAGCATGTGGCAGCTATCCATTTGAAAAAAGGGGGCGTGCATTGCAGCTTAGTGTTTGACACCTGCACTTTTCAGTGCAAGAAGCAACACTACAGCTGCACTTGCACAAGCCCTTTATGGTATGTGTGTTTCAGCTGCTGCCCTGTGGATGTTTGTTCAGCAGCTTGCAGTGGATGAATGCATCGGGCTTGATCATTTGTGAAACTCCACCCTCCCAACCCCTTGTGTTGCCCAAGTGCAACTGGCTCCTTGGGGGGGCTATGATTTGCTGGTCTCTGCTGGGGTTGTCCAGCAGAGCCAGCATGTGGCAGCTATCCATTTGAAAAAAAGGGGGCGTGCATTGCAGCTTAGTGTTGAGCAGTTGCCCCAAGAGCGGCAAGCGCCTGGTTTGGTTTGTGGTTGAGCAAGGAATGCAAGATAAGAACTTGTTCTTGCTTAGTTAGCCAAAACAGTAAAACAGTTTCTTTCAGCTGGGCGATAGCAAGTTTCGTTTTTGCTCTGCTCTTGCTGGGACAAATGCGCGTGCAACTTTTTAAAATGTTGCTGGCAGAGTAGTCATTACCAAGTGTCAGAGAAATGAGCAAATTGATACTTCCTACCAGGAATAAGAAATTAAGGTTGGAATTCCTGGGGCATGAAAATTTGTAATGTTTTGCGATGGTGTTTTTGGATCCGGGTGAAAAAATTGACATTCTTCAAGAGTGTGCGCCACTCAGGGGCTAACAAGTTTTGGCTGATATTGTTTTTTTCCAACATGTGGCTTCAATAGCCGCAATGCTGGGATAAAGTGGTTCAAAGAGCGTTCAGTCAAGTTTGGGGGCAAAGACACTGTGCTCTTGTGCCTCAGGTATTGGGCCAGCCTGGTGTCAAGTTGCTTTGATTCAATAACTTCATTGGAATCTTTGGAATGACATTGTGTTGCCAGCCTGAGGGAACAATTCGCTGCCACGGCTGGAAGACAGAGGCTTTTTGAGGTTTGCTCAGTTTGCTCTGGATTCCCGTCTCTAATGCTTTTTGCTTGATTTGCCTCCTGCGCATGAAAAAATGGCAGCACGCAGCACGCGACCAGCACGAATTCTCTTCTCAACGCTGTTTTGGTTGAAGCATCTTTTTTTGTACAGCATCCAGCCGTTGAAACTTGGAAAAGAAAAGAACAGCACCGGAGCCACTTTTCCAGGAATTCGGGCAATTTCAGCTATCTCAATTTCGTGCGCTTTCGTGCGCTGACTTTAGGTGACATTTGCTTCGAACAAAATTGCAAGAAAATGATCGGAAGGTGGCCATTGTTGCCTTTGCAGGCTAGATTTTGAACATTTAGAATGGTTTCAGTAGAATGGTTTCAGCAGCTTTTCCATCAGTTTTGTTCGAGGATTGTAGGAACCAATTTCGTGCGCTTTCGCGCGCTCTATCTTTTCCACTCATTCGATGAACTTCAGGTGTGTAATCCAACATTACCTGAAAATTCTTGAGATTTGGAGATAAATGATTGTTAAAAAAAGATTTGCGCCAAGTTTACTGATTTTGTGCAACCTTGTGCAATTTCGCGGTTTTTCCGGGCCTCATTTTTTTGGTAGTTCAAGGTTTCTGCCTTCACTGTCAAGTGTTGCCCGGCTGCACAAGAAAGATAGACATTTGTTTGAGGACGTGTTTTTTCAAAATGGATGCGGAGCAAAATCGGTTTTTGCTTCGATCTATTTTGTGTGTTTCTTTCTTGGTTTTGTGATTCGGGGTGCACACGCTTGCTGCCAGTATGCCACAAAGACAGTTTGCTGCGCTTTGCCTTTGCTGGCGGGAAAATCTTGGGCCTGTGAGCCGCAGAGCCATAATGAGTTCTAACTCCACAGGAATTCCTTTATATCGTTTTGCCGTCAAGTGCTTTCTGCCAACCATGTTTCCCTTGTCCAGATCATGCCACCTCACGGCACGCTTAGATTTCATTTTTTCTGATCATTCGGTTGTTGCCTCTACTGCCCACAGCGTCATTTTTTCATTTTTTTCAAAGCCTTCACGGCTTCAAGGCAGACCCTGTTTCCACAAGAGTGAAAAACATTTTTTATTTTGAACGTAAAGTAGCCCATGAGCATGACAGGCATACCCATGCTCTTTAGTAGCCTGCTTGTTTTTTGCCTTATTTCTCTCTTATGATTTTATTTTTTTGGCTTATACTTGGAGGCTCTAGGCACAGAGACAAGGAGGGCCACAGAAGCCATAATATGAAATTTGCTACCGGGCGAGATCAGATGCGGGAGCAGTGAGCAAGTGTTTGAAAACTTTGGAAGCTCCAGTTTCATTTGACAGAGCGTGGGCGGGGCGTCGTCGTTCTGACGTGTGAGTGTCATGTTGACTAAGTTCGCAGTGTTGCTTTTTTGGGTGCCTGCTGCAGCTCAGAAGCTGACAGCCTTTGACGCAGCTTCTGCTTCCAGCGTCTATTCCACAAAATCCTTTGGGGCGGATCTGGCAACGCTTGAATCATCTGGGCG